ATTTACAGCGGTTGTGGCATCCAGGGGACATCTATCATCATTTGTGATTCTTTTCCCAATTAAGCACATCTTCTGCTCACCAATATCCTCTCTAGTGCTGTTCTCTTTCTTTCTAGCTTGTTTATCTCCTGGTAATGGCTTTACCTCTCTAGAAACGGCTACCCTGAGGTAGACTGCTTGGGGACAGGGAGGCTTCATTCCAGTGCATCAGCTAGCCTTCTACCTCAAGAGGTCTGCAAATTTGCAGCTGGATTCTCTTGCTTTGTGCCAGGAGTCTCAGCTGGGGTTCTTGATGCCTTGATGTGCTCCTAGCAGTGGCACCCCGGTTTTCTCCCGCCACCCCCTCTCCCCAATCTCATCCTCAGTCAAAAGCTATCAGCACCAGCCCTTCACGGCAGGTCACTGTCCTCATGACACACACACTCTGGGCCGTTTGTTCCCCTCTGCGATGACTTCAATGCGGTGTTGACATCCTCCTAACTGTTGGCAGAGAACCACATGGCACTGAATCACATGCAAGAGGCTTGTTTTGTACCCAGAACTGCACATCTGGGTGGGAGGTGGGTTCAAGAAAGAAAAAATAGTCGTAAGCAAACGTTGGCCAGGGAGAAAAGACAAACCTGGGTAACCTTGGTAAGGCCACACTTGGAATACGCATCCAGTTTTGGTCACCACGATGTAAAAAAGATGTTGAGACTCTAGAAAGAGTGCAGAGAAGAGCAACAGAGATGATCAGGGGACTGGAGGCTAAAACATACCAGGAACGGTTGCTGGAATTGGGTATGTCTAGTTTAATGAAGACAAGGATGAGAGGTGACAGGATAGCAGTCTTCCAGTATCTCAGGGGCTGCCCCAAAGAAGAGGGAGTCAAGCTATTCTCCAAGGCGCCTGAAGGCAGGACAAGAAGCAACGGGTGGAAACTGATCAAGGAGAGAAGCAACCTGGAACTAAGGAGAAATTTCCTGACAGTTAGAACAATTAACCAGTGGAACAACCTGCCTCCAGAAGCGGTGAATGCTCCAACACTGGAAGTTTTTAAGAAGAGACTGGACAGCCATTTGTCTGAAATGGTATAAGGTTTCTTGCCTGAGCAGGGGGTTGGACTAGATGACCTCCAAGGTTCCTTCCAACTTTATTATTATCATTATCTAGGCGCTGGAAGCAGACCCAGGCCAGGTGGCAATCTGCCAGTGCTGCAATAGGGTGAAAATCTGGAACAATGCAGGCTTGCTTTGACATCTGTAGCATCTTCTCTGCCTTTTAAATGCACTATTTTAGGGGTGCAGATGTGTTGGCTGCTCGTTCCACCTTTGCCTGACACACACACACCCCAGCAAAGTGGGTTGTATCATTGAGCGAAAAGGGCCAAAGACAGACACACAAACAAACACAACCAGCTTTAAAAACTCCTGCGCTTTCTGCTTCCTTGCCTCGCATCCCCGGTGGTCCCCTCCATCTTTTTCCGAGGCACGGCTTCTGGCTTCTCGCACTCCAGACGAGGGTTCCAAGATGGCCTTGTCTGGTTGCGCAACAGGCAGCCGTCTGGATCTCCAGCTGAAGTATGTTGTTGTTGTCGTCAAACTGGTTGCCTGTAAATCTGGCCGGGTGAATGAATCATCCCTTCCCCAGCTCGTTAGCTGCTCGGTTAATTGCAAACAGCCCTTGTTTTTGATGGGCCTTGGGGAGGGGGATTCGGAAGAGATCCCAGGGAAAAGGGAGCCTTATTTGAGGAGTGGACAACGATGTCAACTTTAGGACCCCGTGGACTTCAACTCCCAGAATTCCTGAGCCAGCCATGCTGGCTCAGGGATTCTGGGAGTTGAAGTCCACAGGTTGTACAGTTGACATTGTTGCTCAACCCTGCCTTATATAGTATCCCAGGTCCCCCGTTTCCCCTGTTAAAATCCTGGGTCTTTGGGTGCAAAAGGGAAGCCCAAGACCAGAACAACAAACCACACCCCACAGCACAAAACCACATATCCACCTCTTCCTTTTCCAGCCTGTCAAATAAAACCAAGCTGGCTTATCTTAAATATCAAATAAACAGCCCAACTCATGTCCTTGGCAAGGCCTCCTTAACCCGGAGGGGACAGAAGGTAACGACTTTAGTGATCCAGATTTTGTGTGTGTGTGTGTGTGTGTTTCCAGGCACCATACACACACAAAAACTGCCCATTAATGAATCCACAACTTGCCAAGCCATTCTTTGACCACAGTTTATTGAACCCAGCACAGTTGGCAGGATTCACACATCCTGCTAAGCCTGAAGTAAACCTGGTTGGAAGTTCAGGGTGTTGTGTGAACCCAGCCCTAAAGGTGGGATGGTTTACTTGGGCTGCTGCAGAAATCAAAGAAGACAAATGATAGTTTGGTGTTTGGTGCTTCCTACTTATTTCATAGTGTTGGTTTGCAGCCAGCCAGCCAGTCTCTCTGCACGTGTGAAAGAGTTCTCCCTAGTTTACGGGCAATCACAGCCTTCCTAGAAAGCCAAGACACTCTCCTGTTCTAGACCTTTGACTACAATAACTTCTACTGCTCACGAAGTGAACCCCAGAAAGAGCATCCCTTTTATTCCTAAGCCTCCCCTGTAATTTACTAGACTTACAAAGAGATGATTTACACCAGGTGTAAATGTGGCCTGTTGGGAAGCAGCAGATGCTCCTTTGTCTGCAAAGGCAAATGTTCCTAATTATACTTTCTCCACTGCAAGGCAATTTAAATTCCTTCCCTTGGAAGGGTAGCTCTGCTGATGCTGAGGTCCTGGAGGAGGAAGCCACAGCAATGTTTGGAAAAGCAGAGACGCATCCTTGGTTTAGTGAATCCAGGATGGAAGGTGGCCAGTAGAAGAGGCTGAAAGAATGTAGAAATATGTTGGGAACAACAAGAAGAAATCTGGTTCGACAGATGTGCAACGTGACAGCATCTGGAAAGTGGTGGCAGATCAGATGAACTTTAACAGGAGTAGATTAAAAGTTTGGAAACCTGAGTAGCGGGTATATTTGCAAATGACCCAATATTCCAGCATTTCACAAATAGATTGTGTGATGTGCTCATCTTATATTCTGGGTCTTATCGAGTTTGGCCAAAGTCTGAAGCTGTGATGGCCACTTGGAAAACCGGTCCTCTAATTTGTTATTTATATTTCATATTTCTAAATGACCCACCTCCCTCAAAGAGGGGCTCTTTAAATTAGGCACTCATATGCCTAATTCCTCCATATTTGCTCCTTTTCAGACCCTTAAAAGCACGAAGAAACAGATGTTTAATAAAACCTGCCACTTGTAATCAGAAAGAAAAAGAAAAAAGGATCATCGGTGTTTGCAATCACAGATCACATGGGAAGGAAATGAAATGCCTACAGGTTTTGTGGGGAAAGAAAATCAGCTGGTGCCAAGGCGTGGGGGATTAATCAAAGGAAATTGCCCCTGGATGAACCTGTTTTCCACTTGTGGCCGAGATCCTTTAAAGGTAAACTCTGGTTTGAAGGAAAACTGGCTTGCCCAGCCAAAAAATGAATCCAGCTAGTTAAATGAAGACAACTATGGACAGCTGCCAATTCATTACGCTGATGTGTTTCCTCTGGAAAGCTAAAGCAGAATTTTTCTGCCATCCATGTTGGCTAATCCAACATGAAATCTGGCCAGCCAGGAATGGCCAATGCCCTCATCCTCCTTTTTCACCCTCCAGAAACAGACTGGATCAGGACCAGTTTAACCCTCAGGCCCGTAAACATCCACGTGTTGGAATAAACGAGGTTGAATCCTGCGGATTTCATTCTGGCTGGGTGTTTTTCGAATGCTTCTCCAGTGAGCAAAACGCCACTCTGACTTGCTCGGTTGACGGAAGACGTGCGCTGTGGGGCCAGAACGAAACCAGCCCATATTATGACTAAGTGCTCTGTGGGAATCGGAGGACGGAGGCTGCAGCCGTGTTTGAGATGCTCTTGGAAGGCCCGGTACATTCTTTGCTCCCACAGAAAAGCGTTTTGCTTTTGCCACATTCCTTTTTTCTTACAGCGGGATGATGCTCGCAGTACTTGTAAATAGGCGCTGGGATCTTCAGCGGGGAGGGAGGGATTACCGGCTGGGAAATAAAAAGGGATTTCAGAACAGCAATGTTTCTCAACTTTGGTGACTTTAAGATAGGTAGAACGCAAATCCCAGAATTCCCCAGCCAGCCATGCATGGGGAATTCTGGTAGTTGAAGTCCACCCTTCTTAAAGTTGTCAAGGTTGGGAAACTCTGTACTAGAGCTTTAATATCTGGGGTGGAGTTACCCCCCCAAAAAGAAATGCATGTCCCATCTTTCACTTAACACACACAAACGTTTGCTCTCTGTGGTCCCTTCCAGCCCTGGGGGTTCTGTGTTCCAAAGGACATGCCTGCCTGAGGAATTCTGGGAGTTGAAGTCCACAAGTCATAAAAGGGCCAAGTTGGAAGACCCCCGGTCTAGCATGATGTTCCCTAGTTGGGGCCATGAAACGTCTGCTAGGCAACCCCCAAGCCCAGAAAGCACCAAGGACCCCACAATCCTCCTCCTCCTCCTCCTCCTCTTCTACTCTGCAAACCCCCCTCCCTTCTAGCACTGATGATGTTCCCTAGTTGGGTCACGAAACGTCTGCAAGCAAACCCCTCCCAAATCGAGAGAGCGTCAAGGGCCCCTCAGTTCAACCCGGCGCTACAACGATTCTCCTTGAAAGACTACATTTCCCGGCAGGCGGCGGGAGGCAGCGCAAGACACAGCTGGAAAGGAGGGGAGGGGCGGGGCGGGAGCACCTCCCCCCTTCCCTCCTCCTCCTCCCCGCCCGTCTGCCTGCTCCGGCGGGGCGCGCGCTCGGNGCCGCCGCCGCCGCCGCTCCTTTTTCTGCGGCTCCCGCGACCGGGGCGCATCTGCGCTCCTGGCCCTGCTGGATGCGGAGGGCGCCGCCGCCGCTGCATGGGGGAAGCGCCGCCGCCCCCCCCGCCTGGCCGCCTCGCCCCTCGCCCGCGCCCCTCGGCAAGATGATGAAGTTTCGCTTCCGCCGCCAGGGCCACGACCCCCAGCGGGAGAAGCTCAAGCAGGACATCTACGCCTTCAACAAGGTGGGGGCCCGGCCCGGGCTAGGACGCCCTACCCCTCATCCCCGGCCCGGGGCCCCTGAGCCGAAGGGGCGCCGCTCCTCGGCCCCAGCATCCCCTGCCGGTCCCGCACATCTGGGGGCGCCTGGTTGAAGCAGGCAGGCAGGCAGGCAGGCAGAGGAAGGGGAACGGGGGAGCGTCTGGGGGGGGCAGGTTCCTTTCGGCTATTGCTCTCTTTTAGGGGTCCTTGTTCTTGAATTGGGGGCGGGGGCGGCGGGAGGTGGGATACGGTCCAGCTCGGGCTGTTTCCCTCGCCCTTCGCGGCTTCGGAAAAATGGGGAGGGGGCGAGAGAAGCCGTGCCTTTTTTTTCTTGGCGGTGGGAATCGCCCTGTTTGGCGCGAGGGGCTTGGACTTGTTCCGAATTGGGGGGGGGGCGAGAGGACAGAGCTGAACTAGCCCCCCCTTCCCAAAAAGGGGGGAGGCCACTTGGAGAAGGAGAGTTAAATTCTGCGTCCCCGGGAAGAAAGGGGTGCTGGGGGGGGGATCCCGAGCTGCCCCGGTTGTATTTGCTTGTCCACCCCACCCCACCCACCCACCCATTTTTCGCCTCTGGGGCCGCCCCTCCCTCTTGCAGGGTTAAGCCCGACGGAGGGGGCGCCGAGACAGGGTCCTTTCAGGGGGGGAGGGGGGATTAAAAGGAAGGGAAAGGAGAGCAGGGCAGGCACCGGACCTCTGGCCGGGGGGGGGGAGAGCAAGAGCCCGAGGCAGTGGCCGCTGCTCCCCTTGTGCAGGAGTAGCTCCCCCAGCCCAGCCGAGGTTGGCTCTGCTCCTGGGTTGCCCCGTCAAAAAGCTTCGGAGCGCCTCCAGTGTGTGCGCGTTATGTGTGTGTGTGCAACCTGCCTTTTTTATTTTCCTTTTCCAATTCCCTCCCTTCCCACGCTCGCTCCCAGCAAAGGTGTCTCTCTCTCTCTCTCCTCCGGGGAGGGGTTGCGAGAAGCTCCCGGGGGTTTTTCACGCCTCCTCGGCGCTCCGTAGGCAACTTTCGCCGGGGATGTTGTTCGTCGGAGCCCCCAGCCGGCTCCCTTTCCCCAAACCTCGGCCTCCATCTGGCTCCGGACTGAGAAAGGAACAGACCCAGCATCTTCCCCACCGCCCCAGCCCCGCCCCCTTCGCGCGTACACACACACACACACACACACACAAACGCCACTCTTGCTCCTTTCCAAGCTGGCTGCTCTGGTGCGTCCCTCCTCCTCCTTGCAGCCCGTTTGGTCCAGAGGGGGGGGAGGCTGGGTGTCCATTGTGAGGCTGTGGAGTTCTCCCCCTGCCTCCCCCCTTTCCTGGGCCATCTGCAGCCCTCCCCCCCTCCCCCCTCCCTCCTTTTCAGCTCCTTCCCCCTTTGAGGGAATGGAAGCAATAAAAAAAAAATCTGCAACTGTAGATCCGGGAAGGCTGGCTGGCCCTGGACAAGAATGAAGAGGGTTCTCCTTTGGGTAAAAAAACGCCCAGCGGGCTGCAAGGGTGTTTGGGCAGGGTGGGGAGAGGCTCCTCTGCCCCCTCAAATAGCTCATTCCTCCTCCAAAGAGTTTTAAGGCATTTTGGGGGGATATGAGATGATGGTGGTGTTTTCCGCTTATTTATATGCAAACCAGCTGGGCTGTTACTGGTGACACTTGGAAATGTTGGAAAAAGTCATATCAAGGAAAGCAGCTCCTGTTCACACACACACACACACACACACACACACACACACACACACACACACACACACTAGTTTGGCCACTTTGTCCAGAATTTAGGAGCAGTTTGGGGGAGGGTGGGCTGGAAAGCATCCCCCTCCTTTCCAACTCCATCCTGTTTGCAGAGTAGCCTCTGTTTTGAATGCTCAAGAGCTGGGTCAAACCTTGCTGGAGGTTTAGGGGAGCCCCCTCCCCTAATTGTGGTGGGCTTCAGAGTCCCTGGAGAGCACCTTGTTGGGGTTGCTGATTTGGGCAGAGCTAGTTCTTATTTTCAGGAGGCTAACAGCCCAGGTCGACACCTTCGGAATCGGCCGGGATTCCTGGTTTGTTTCTTGAGCAGCTCCTCTTGTTTAAAGAGAAAAAGGCAAACTGTCTGGGCCAAGATTTCATTGGGGGGAGGACATTAGATAATAACACTGCCTGGGCTGGGTTCAAACTTGATAGCCAAAAAGATTTATTTCGATTGCTTGCAGGTTTTTTCTCTCTCTCCAGAATAGTTCCACCCCTTTTACAGCCTTTCTTTTTTCATTCTTTACTTTTATGTTCTTTCTTGCTCTGCCTGCTACATTCTGGTAACCTCTTAAATTGAACCCTTGTGTTGCTGGAGGGGGTGGGGGGGGCTGGAGCTAATGAAATCCGAACTGTCTCTTGGATACATCGGCTGCTGTATTTGCTCCAGACAAACAGCTTTGGGTCAAAATCGGGGCTGACCCAAAATATGGACTGCATTAAGCCCAGATCTCCCTGGGACTCGTAGGCTGGCTTTCCTCCTTTCCAGCCCAACCCCAGTAGTGTTGCTTGAGGAATGTTGTGATTTAATCTCTCCTTCCTTTGATAGGGCAGGGACCAAGTTAGGAATAAGCCTGAAATGGCTTGCGTGCAGGGCAGGAAACTCAAAACTGATGATGTTTGTTGGTTACCCACCCGTCTGGGAGCCGGTTCCCTCCTTCCCTCATTTCTCCTGCAATTTCTTTCTTAGAGTCGGTGCAGGATGACACCCTGTGGGTCAGAATTAACTTCAGACAGTTGGGCTTACGCTCAGCTGTGCATTTCATTTCTTCCTCATTGCATTTTAATCCTGTCCTTTTTCCTGCTGTGCGCTGTGGGGTTTGTCTTCTTCCTTTCTCTCCCTCTGTCGGGAATCCTCACAACATCCCTGCGGGGCAGGCTGTGGCAGCAGTTGTTCCAAGATCACCCATCCAGAGTTGCTTCAACAGAGAAATAGGCAGCGTATAAATTTAATAAATAATAAACAATGAATGAGGGGCTTAGGTCTTGACCTTATGTCTTGCCCTGTGTCACCTCACCTGGAATGGATAATTGTGGGGGGGGGGGAGATTCCAGATATATTTGAACCCCAAGACAGCCATGTATGATGCAATCTCAAGGGAAGCTGGGGTGCTTGTGCCCTCCAGGCAAAAAAAATGAACTGCTGGCTGAGTTTTCCACCTTGCAGCCATCCTCTGTCCTCAAGGCCCCCCCCCCATTCGCAAGAACAGCCTCTTCCGCTGTCTCAGCCTGGCGTGTTGCAACACGGAAGGGGTGGAAAGGATTTGCTCCCCGTTCGGGATGAGCTTTGCCCGGGAGCCAGTGCCTGAGAGCAGCACAGCCAGTACCAAGAATTGGGGGGGGGCAGCAGCGGCCTGATTGATCCCCTTTCTTGGTATTCTGGTTTTGAACTTTGCCGAACGGCCTGTTGATCTTGGCCTCGCCGGCTCTGCGTTGCCACCGGTAGCACGTGGGGCTTCAGCAAACACGGCAGGCAGCCGAGGGCCCCTTCCCGGGTCACCAAAGGCCGGCCTTTGGCGCTTTGCTGTGGCCCACTCGCCCGGGACAAGAGTTAGCCAGACATCAAAGAAATGGTGGGACGGAACCGTTAAAGAAAGGATTGCAAAAGGAGGGACAGGGTGAAACGTGATTGACAAAAATTAAGACAATTTTTTATTTGTTTTAAGTCATTGTATTAAATTGTCCCATGGCAAGCTGGCTGTGGTGAGGTGTCCCATTTGGACCAAAGGCTCCTTTGGCGCCTCCAGCATGGCCCCGGATGAGGCCTGGCAAAGGTGAGGGCACTGCTGCCCGCAAACCTGCCCAGGGTGCCTAGTAGACGCATTTCCCTGGTTGGGTTCAGCAACCCATGGTTCCCGGCTGAACCAGGACTGGGCGATTTGGGGTTCAGCAGGGGACGGGAAACCCAGGCAGCCTTAAAGCACTACAGGCAGTCCTTGATTTACGACTCAGGGCCACAATCATTTCGGTTGCTATTCCGCAGAATTGCGCCCCATTTTACAACCTTTTTTTTCCATGGTGTTAAGCAAATTGTTGCCATTGTTAAGCAAATCCAGCTTCCCCTGTTGACTGTTGTTGGTTGGGCGGGAAAGCCGCAAATGGCCATTGCGTGAACCGAGACATCGCAACCAGGGCAAATGAATTGTGATCATGGACGGGAGGCCGTGACGTTATAAGAGCGAGAAAAGATGGCCAGTCACTTTTTTCAGTGCTTTTGTAACCTCAAATGGTTGCTAAACAGATCTTTGTAAGTTGAGGACTACCTGTATAGTGTTTTCTTTTTCTTTTTTAAAGGGCAGTAAGTTGTATAGACTGAGGACTTTGGAGCTGTTGACCTGGGATTAGTTCATTTCACGATGCCAGACATCGGCTAACCGGATTCCCCCGTCGTGAGACGGTCCTGTTTGACTTTATTCAGAAGCCAATTGACCACTTTTAGCAGATCGGTTTTAAAATGATGTTTGTCCCCTCCTTCGGCAGAAAATCCAGACACAGACTTCTGGGGAATCAAGCCCCTAGTCCTCATGGTTATCAAAAAAGCAACGATGGCCCACCAGTTCCCTCTTTCTTTCCTCTCTGAACTTAAAGTTGAAAATTGAGCAACTACTAGACGGCCACAGCGGTGCTGAGCAGATGGCGAACGTGAGACGCCTTCCCTCCGCTGTGCTGTTCTCGTGTATCCATGGAGTTCATAGCAGAAGAGAGACGTCAGACTTTTAATCGCTCGCCGGTTCAGAAGACAATCCAAAGGTTTCTCCTGGATGCAGGAGCGGCTGCCAAGCGTGTGAGGCCTCGGGTAGGATTAGCAAGGAGACGCAGTGCTATTCACAGTCTCCGTGGGAAGATCTGGGAGTAACTTTTTGGGGGGGGGGGTTATTTAAGTCAGGGATACCCAACTGTCCACTGGACGCAGCTAATAAAGTTTGGGACTCCGTGTCTGCTTGAAGAGAGGCTGGAGAAGAACAGAGTCTTTTTCCCCCATTCCAGTTTTCCTTTAAAAAAAGAAAAAAAAGTCTTTGGGAATTAATATTCCAGAATAAGAATGTTCCCCCCTCTCCATTTCTCAATACTTTAAATCAGGGTTTCCCAAACTTGGTGACTTTTAACACAAGAGGATTTCAATTCTCAGAATCCCCTAACCATTTAAGATGGGTGGACTTCAGCTCCCAGAATCCTCTAGCTAGCTGAAATTGAGCGGGGGGGGGGCATTCCGAATGCAAGGTGGTGATGTAGCCCTGGGAGAAAGGGCCAACCTACCTCAGCCTGAGCTTTTGCAGAACCCTCAGGCCTTGCTTTTGGGGAGGTGGAGCAGTGTTATTAGCTAGGTTGCCCCAATATTTGGCCTTCCAGAGATGCAATGAGAGAATCGGTGCCACTGTTTTCTTGCGGTGAATTCCTTCCTTCCTTCCTTCCTTCCTTCCTTCCTTCCTTCCTTCCTTCCTTCCTTCCTTCCTTCCTTCCTTCCTGCAAAGTGTTTTCGGACATGGGTCTGCCCCCCTCCCCCAGCAGATCGACTGAAAAAGCAGGTGTCTGTTTTGCAGGTGGCTGAGTGCGGGCAGCATGCCAGGCAGAGGGCAGATGCATGGCAAGGAGGGGGCAGAGCTCGGCTGCTGTCAATTGTGGGTTTGTGTATGTGCCGGAGGCTGTCTTGAGCTCTCCCGCAGAGCCCTTGGCAAGATGTCTCTCCTCTTTGAGGTTTGAGGATCTCTCTCTGCACTTCGTGGGGAGGATAGAAGCGTTTTGGTCTCCCTGTTGCTTGAGGACCAGATGCTCTTTTCTCTAATGGGTCTTTGATGCTGGACTGGCTGTGTGCGACTTTCCAGATGTTGCTCCATCGCCACTCCCTGCCTTCCTTTCCATGGGGGCTGTTGGTGGGAACTGCAGATCCAGAACATCTGGAGATGTCCAGATTCAGCCGGGGTGGCCCCTTTCTGGCCTTTTCCTGCAGGCTGTGCAAGGGCCGAGGGGCAAATCTCTCCTTTCCTTTGCAAGGGGGGGGGGGCGAGGCCTGGACTCGGGCAAGCTTGGCTTGCGGGGAGCCCAGCAGCAGGAAGTTTATCTGGCTGTTTGGAGATTGGAAGGGCACCACCAGAACACGCCCTCCAAGGGTGGCGGATCCGAGTGTGTCAGAAACTTACAAGGACATCTTTTCTGAAACGAGTCAGCCAGTCAGTCAGGGCAGCATCTCCTTCTGAACTGGGCCAGTCTTACAGGTCAGCACGGAAGTCGCTCGTCACCAGTTCTGGAGGCGGCGAAGGTCCTCCTAAGATCTTATCCACAGAGCCATCTTCCCTGCTCATCTCCAGGGCGGGATCTGGAAGGGAAATATGCACCGGGGTTGACTCTGACTCAACCCACCTTTGACTGGCATGTTCTCGGGGTGCATGGTAGGTAGGCTTATCTCCGGTGGGGCCACGAGAGTGGACATGACTTCTCTAGCTGGCCTTTGCCCTCCATTTGGCTGCCTCTTTGCTAAGGCGGGATCCCAAATTCTGAAGCTGGCTTGGCCCCTGCAGAGACCTGCATGGATGCTTCTCCTGGCGTATTTCCTTGCCTTTCCCCCGTTTTCCATCCATGTTTCCTACAACTGCTCTTCTGCATCCTAGCAAGGACCGTCTCTTTTTCCTGCTGGTGGAGTCTTCTTCCTGGAGCAGAGTCTGTTGGCACAATCTGGACTGCAGGAAGCACCTTAGCCAGCTACGGTCCTCTCCCCACCTTTGCAGGAAATGCAGCGCACCTTTACCTTATCGCAAGGTGATTTAATGTGCGCTGCATTCAATCCCGTCTCCTCGCACTTCTCTCCTGCAGGGACCAAAACACAGATAGGATAAACCTGATATAGAGCAAAGGGTTTTGATTGTCTTCCTAGTAGATCTGCTTCTGAAAAGACCAGGTTGCAAGGACGAGGAAAGAAAGCAGAACTTCTTTCTGGTTGTTGGTGTTTTTTTTTTTTGCGGTTTTTGACAACCATCCCTTGGCTCGGCTCCTTTTTCAAATTCACCTGCACAAGGATCAGAATGCAGCCCATAAGATGGAATTCTTAATTCATTCTCGGTTAGACCTTTGCCTCAGAAGCCTGGAACCAGGCCAGTCTGAGGTTTCTGGAGCCCTCTTGCTACTTCAAGGGCTGGTGTTGTGCACTGGATACAGAATGCCATGGGAAATGTGCCGTTCTTGGAGAAGGGCTGGAAGGAAGGAGCAGGGCTGGTTTGATCAAGGCTTGGAGCAGGAAGAAGAGAGAGGGAGAGAGGGAAGGAAGGAAGGTCCTAGATCTTAGGTGTATACAGAGCAGACTTCCTCAACTGGAAGTCTCACCTCGCCCAGCCTGGATTCCTAAATGTTCCTATTCTCCTTTTAAACTAAGGGATGCTCCAAGACTGGTCCTGGTTCCAGATCTTCTCCTCCTCCTCCTCCTCCTCCTCCTCCTCCTCCTCCTCCTCCTCCTCCTCCTCCTCCTCACAACCATGCACAGCAACCCTGTCATCTGGGGAGGTTGGGCGTGCTTTACTTCCAACCTGCCGGTGATGGGGGTGGGTGGGTTTCCCCGTTCTGCTGCTCCTCCAGGGGGCTGGACCCCTATGTCTACTGTGTGGTCTCCTGAGGTGGGGAGAAACGGGGCTGGGGCTGACCAGGGAGAGGAAGTGGGAAGCTTTTTCTGGAGATCCCTTTAAGGGCTGCCTCTCTTTCACTCGCAGTGACCCTGCTGTGCCTGGGAGAAGCGAAGTTGGAATTGGCTGAAAAGCTTCATTTGTCTGTCCACTCCTGCGGGGCTGGGCTGAATGGATTCTGGGAGGGAGGGGGGAGAGAGAAGGGAGGGATCTTGGAAGTTGCTCTGGGCTGGCTCTTTAGTAATCCTTTCTTTCCGATGGCGTGGGTTGCCTTGGCTTCCTTAACTCAGTAGCAGAGGTGGTGGTCAGTCTGAAAGACCACCAGCGTCTTTGGACCGGTTCAGAGAACATCGGACCGAGTCCGGCCCTTACAGGAGGTGGCAACCCATCCCAGCTCAGCCCCCCTGACCTTTTAGCCAGCTGTGCAGAAATAAAAAAAGATCAAGGTTTTTTTTCCTCCATCGCTTTATTTCCAAGCCCGGAAAAGTTTCAGCAATTGCATTTTTGTCTCTGTGGCTTGATAGAAACTAAGTTATTGGCCTTCTCGATGCCTTTGAGTCAGGAAAACAAAACACTCGGCGACTTGGAAGAGAATGAATCTCTCTTCCAAAGTTCTTCTTCCTCTCTAAAATTGGTACATTCTGCAAACGGTCTAAAAATGGCCCAGGCCTGAGGCTGGTTGTCTGAAAGGGCAAAGAGAACAAAATCGACGTATCTAAACCAGCATTATCCAACCCAAGTTGGGAATAGCAACTCTCTGGCGTCCCTAAATTGCAGCTGCAGGTTCAGAGGAGGGAGAATGAAGCAGCCAAAGTTTCACTGGGGTTTTGGCAGCCTCCTGAAATCCAGGACTGGGAGCCTCTGAGATGTTCCTCCTGCGTGGAGGAAAAGGGCATGCTCCAGATTACGGCCTTCTTTCGCCCTCTGCAAGCCAATAACAACATTGTTATGTTGCAAGCCAACATAACAATCTCTGCTCTGTTGAGTGGCAGCTGGACTGGAGGGTTGGAGAACAAGGGTAAGCTTTGGCTAAGATGGGGAAGGACCAGCAGAGGAAGAGGAAGGGAATTGGAGGGCACAGATTGAGGGTTTCACCAGAGACCCTCCCTGCTTTTTCTCTGGCATGCCCTTGATAACCCTGACGTGTTCTGGAACTCGGGCAGACCAACAATTGGAAACCTGCTTGGCCCAAGGCGACGTGGCTTCCTGGCTTGTGTGATTCTGTAGCTGAGATCTCCTTGACCTGGAGTGAAGTTTGGGGGTGGCTGATCTGAGAACGATCCAGCAGGAATGAAGTTTGAGAAGCTGCTGCTTTTCCTGGGCCCGCCAAATTTGGGGTGCATGCCAGACGACCTCCTGCTTTGATGACCCTCCAACACAATTCTTTCTTCTCTTTCTTCTTCCAGATGGTGGAGCACGGCTTCCCCAATCAGCCCAGCTCCTTGGCCTTTGACCCCCAGCTGTGCATTATGGCCATCGGAACCAAATCGGGAGCAATCAAAATGTATCCTTCTTGCTGCGGCATCAGCTGCCTTTCCGGGCACGGAGTTCTGGCAGAAGGTGAAGCGGAGGGTCCCGTGAAGGCAGCAGCACGGTTTGGGCACCGCCTGGGGGCTGGGAAAGGACCACCAGTCCTTGGGGACAGTCGTGGGGATGGGCTCCTGCGATGTGCATTGGCATCTTCAGGGTGTCTACTGGGAATTACGAGTGCAACACATTCCAAGTCGGGGCGGGGGGGAGTTCCCCAATTTGATAGTCTCCAAAGATGTTGGGATTGCAACTTCCAACGTGGCTGGGAATTAATTGGGGAATTGCATCTGAAGGTGCCAGCTTAGGGTCAGCTGATCTGAGGGTTTGGTTAGAAAATGGGTTGACATTTAGAGGTCTGGTGATAATGGTCCAAACCAAAGTACAGGAAGTCTCGACATACCACCACAAGGGAGCCCAACATTTCTGTGACTAAGCTGGACATTTGTGGATTTTGCCCCAATTTATGACTTTTTTTTGCCACAGCTGTTCAGTGAATCTCACTGCACTTAAGTCATTAAGTTAGCGATCCGGTTGGTCAGTGACTCTGGCTTCCCCCATGGACTTTGCTTGTCGGAAGGTCGCAAAAGGCACAACTGTCATAAATATGAGTCAATTGCCAAGTGTCCGAATTGGGATCAGGTGACTGTGAAAGGATGCTGCAATGGTCGTAAGTGTGAATAATGGTCATAAGTCACCTTTTGAGTAATGGTTTTACTTTTGAATGGTCGCTAAATGAACTGTTATAAGCCGAGGACTCTCCTTTTTGTGAATAGCGATAGCAGAATTTTGCCATGATTTCCGGACGTTCTTGTGCTGATGTTCCCGTCAACCCGAACCCTTCCGCTGTTTCTCCACAATGCCTTTCGAGAAGGGAGCCGCCATAGTTTCAGTCGCCGAGGGAGGAGGATTCAAGAGGCTTAAATAACGAAGACCCAGAGCTTTTTGTGGGCTTCCCTTTTCGTGTCCCGGAGAGGCCGGAGTTGGGAAGTTTTCCCTGGGCCCTTGCCTGGACCACAATCCACCGCGGTTGCGTTGGGGCTGGTGGCGGTCTTTGCGCATGTGTGTGTGTGTGTTGTGGAAAGGGGCATTTGGAAAACCACTCCGAATCTCCACAGCTTCAATGGCCCCTTTTCAAGCTGCAGCCTTGGCATGCCTGCCAGGCGATGCCGCGTCTCCATGGAGTTGGCAGCCTCTGAAGACAATAGGCGGGAGACACGGCAGCTCCCTCTGGCCTCGCCTCCTCTTCCCAGCTCTTCTCTTCCAGGTTGTTCTTGTGTGATCTTTCCTGCCTATCCTCACCTCCCCCTTTCCCGGGGGTGTCTGTAGGCTCAGAGCAGCCTGTGGAAACAGCCCCTCCCCAGTTTTTTTAATCCATTATAGAGTCCTTTCCCCCCTAGCTGGAGTAGGGAGGTCTTAGATTCAATGCAAAACCCCCTCCACATCAGCTGGAGAGTGAGAACTGGAAGGCATTCCCGCTGGGTTGAGTTTTAAATAAATGGCATAAAGAGGCCGGCAGGGATGTCTCTGGAATCATGCTTGGGTAACCCCTGTTTCTTGAACAAGCCAGCATGAGCTGGCTCCATAGATCGGGATCTCTGCTTACAAGGACTTTTCAGCAGGATTCTGGGCTAGTTTAAATGTTAAAGGCAGCTTTTAAAGCGAAGGAGGGCTTTGCTTTGGGGGCTCAGAGGCTACAGCCCATGTCACGGAGCTGGGAATGCCTCTTTGATCTGGAAAAGGAGCTGACAAGGACAGTTTGCCACTTGTCTGCTTGATTTTTAAAACCTTGTTTCTGCCCTAGGAAGACCGTAGTTGGTGTTTGTGTGCGAAAGGACCAGCATCTTTGCAGATCAGCTGAGGTTTTGGGGGTTTTTTTCTGTTGTTTTTGGAGTTTAAAGTTGGCATTTGGGGCATTTATGTTTGGGGAGATTTTTCCAGTCTTTCTGCAATCGATCCCCTCCTTGCCGGCCCAGCCTCTCCTTCCAGCATCTGTGGTGCATTGGGAGACTGGCTTGGCGGCTGGACAGGACATGTGCAGCTTGGCAAGACAATGGAGGAAATGGCTGAAGAACAGAGGATCGAGTTCTTAAGGGGGGGGGGTCTCAGCAGGGCTGGCCGAAAACAGCTGAGGCAGCTAAAAAAAAACCCCTTTGGGTCCAGAGGAGTCTCTGCTTCGGATCTTTCTCCCTGTGGCCCTTTGCCAGAGAGAACCTGGGTGTGTGTGTGTGTGTGTGAATACTGGAGTCACATTCACCCCCTCCAGAAAATGAAATCCCAAACCATGCTGATATTGGCTCCTGGCATTTGGCCGCTTCCTCGGCAAAGACAGATGCACCCGGCTGGGTGGAAGAGCAGTGAGCTTAATTGCCAGAGAGGACTCTTGCAAGGGCATTGGGTGGTTTTTGGGACAGGTAGGGTGGGCAGGCAGAAGGACCCGGAGTACGTGAAAATCCTCACTTGGGTTGTGCAACCTCTCCCCATTTGGGGCAGAAGGGGCGGGAGGCAATGTGCTTTCTGCACTGACCAGCCCAGCCTCCCCCCTCCCCATCGTGCTCTCTCCTCCTGCTGCAATGGGGAAACAGGCAGGGTTGATGCCAGTTCTCCAAACGCAGCCCCCTCCTCCTCCTCCTCCTCCTCCTCCTCCTCCTCCTCCTCCGGGCGAGTGGAGAAGAGGGGGTTAGTTCCGCAGGGGACTGAGTTGCTTCTCTCCACATTTGAATGGCTGAATGAACTTTGGGGGTCACTTCCCAAGAAACTGGGGCAGAAAAATCACGTGCCTGTTTTGCTTTGAGGGGGCTTCCCCCTCAAACAGCGGTGTTTGCTTTGTTCCACTTTGTCTGCCGATCTCTGCTGCCCTCCTCAGAGGGCGGAATGTGAATGAGTTGGTTGTGCTTCTTTCCTCTTCTCCAAAGGGTCACTTCATCGTTTTTTGGGGGTGGGGCAGAAATGCCCTGGGGTCAGCTACGGGGGCAGCCACGGTTTGCATATTGAGGCTTTGCAACAGCTGTCCTAAAAAGCAGAGGGGTCAATTCTCGGAGCTTCTCAAACGGATTGTTTCAAGGGGGGGCAGAAGCCTTGAGGGCCCCCCGATGACTTTCTGGCTGAATTGGGGAAAACTTCTATACGGCATTGCTGGGAGCAGAGATGGTCACCGCCCTGAGTCCCGCAAGGGAGAAGGGCGGTATATAAATCAAATAAATTTGAATTTGAATTTGGTCTCTGCCTGCAGTGTCCCGTTTTTGCCCCTCGGGACATGCAGGGCAGTTCTGAAGGTTCGTTCTTAAAAGTTGCGGGAGGCGCAAGGGGGCCGTTGTCTTTTGCTGCTCCTCGGGGTCGGCCACGGGTGCGGTTCTCCTTCCTGGCTTGGCTGGCCACTGCTGAACTGGGGCGTGGGCTGCTTCTCCGCTGATGCAAAGCTCTTTCCCTCCCAGAGGAAGCTGTGAGGCTGGCTTGGCGCACCAGACCTCTGGCGGACCTCACTCCCGTCCACGGTTTAAGGGGGCCGCTGTCCCCAAGCCCTCCAGCCCCCTGCTGGGGGGGGGAGATGACGCCAAAATCGCTGCGTCCTCCACACCGGGGAGCTTCCAATGACGTGCACAAAAGGCCAGATCTCTGTGGGTTTCCAGGAGTCAAGCGGGCATCACCTTGAAGTTTTATTATGGGATGCAGCTGGTGTGTTTGGGTCAGGGGTCTCCCCTTCAGCCCTCTTTCCTCCTCCTCCTCCCACCAAACATGCCAGCCCTTAACTGGCAGAAGCCTCACTAAAGGAGAATGTTTGTAGCTTGAAATGTGGGGGTCCTGGGTGCTCTCTGAGCTTGCTGGTTCTCTTGCAGACGTTTCATTACCCAAACTAGGTAACACCATCAGAGTGCTAGTAAGAAGTGGGCTTTGCTCTCCGTTTACATTCTAGTGGCTTGCCCTGTCAGTGTGGTTGGAGGTGGCCGTTGAAGTTCTTTGGGAGGCTCTTTGCCTGCTTGCTATGCCAGCCCGGGGTGCCTTAGACACCCTGGTGGGCCAGTCTCACAGATCTCCTTGGCAGGTTTTGTGGACCTGCAGCAAGCTGGGCTTCCAGCAGCCTCAAAGAGCCTCGGTTTGACCAGATGGTGTTTATTCTTAGAACCTGTCTGAAGCTTTCCTGCTCATCTGAGAATACTTCTCAGCAAAGAGCATCCCTGCTCCGCTTGGTGAAGGGGGAAAAGTGTCGAGCTGGCTTGTTTTCGGTCCAGAGCTGCTGGTGACTGTGCCTTTACAACGATGCTGGAGCCAGGGGCCCTGCTTGGCAAGAGCAGGGCATTGGGGGCTTCCTGGTGGAGGCTGGTGAGCCCCAAATGTAAGTGTGGATTAACTCTGTGGGAGGTGCTGAATCCGTACTTCATCTTCCCGGCAATGAGAAGGGCTCTCCTCTAAGAAGGGAGAAGAATTTCGATGTCCTTTAACTGTGGGGGGAAGTGATCCTCTGCAAAATTGCTCTCCTCTCTCCCTTGTGGTGGTGGTGGTGGGACCTTGGGTGAGCTCCTGAGCAGAAGATGGACGAGGGAAGGGCTTTTTTCTCAGGTCTTCCTCCAGCAGCTCCCGTGTCAGGAAGTGGGGTTCTGTTGCAACGTGTCGGGCAGACTTTCGAAAGGAAGGAAGTAAACATTTCTCCGTTCTGCAGAAGACCTTGGGGGGCGGGAAACCTCTGATGAGCCTCTTTCTCTGGGGTTTCTCTGATGTCATTGAGCTTAAAGAAGGGGAACTTGATGGTGACACCGGGGAGGGCTTGTCCAGGGAGGAGAGCCGGTGGGGTGATGCGAGGGTGGTGCTGGTGTCGTCGTTCAGGGCTTGGGGATTGCTGCCGTGGTTGAAAGTCTTGATGTCCGAGGTCTTGGTGGCAGATAAGCTGGGTGAAGGGTGTGGGGAGTCCCCTTCAGCTTCCTGTGTTCCCAGGGCTGTGTTTGAGGGGGCAAATGCCCCCTCTGGGAGCCCCTTCCGAATGCCTTCTGGAGCCTCCAACCCAAGAGGGGCCCTGCTGCCCCTCTGTCTGATCTCCTGTTCTGAAGTTCACCCCTTGTCTTCTCAGGTGGCAACAGCTGCTTGTGATTCACTGCGTGTGTCTCATTCAGTTCTGGGGTAGGGTCTGCCCTTTTTTGGAGGAAGGGGCCATCACCTCTGCAGAAGAAACATTTCTGATGTCCCCCCCTCTCCCCAAATCCACCTGCAGGGAGAACAGTCGGGCCACCCTTTGCAATTCGTCAACCGTTGACCTTCCCCCTTGGAGAATACAGCCCTCCCCTCCCAAAGTTGATAACCCCCCCTCCCCAGTTTCCCCTATAGCCGGCTTGTGGCTTGGACTGTGTGCACCACCACAGCCAAAGCAGAGAGCATCGCCCCCCATTCATCAGCGTGGTAAACTCATCAGCGTGGTAAACAAAGCCCAGCGCGGGAGTTTGTGCTGGGGGGGGGAAGGAGGTGGAAAGGGGGGGGGGCGCTGTGTGCCAAAATCGGATTCCTTTTAAGCCAGCAGTAAGCTGAGAAGTCGACCTTAAGAAAAATCTCCCTTCTTCAGTGACGGGCTCCAGTTCTTAGATAAATAAAGCCAGCTGAGTCCATCAGTTTCTTGGAATAGTTTTTGCCATTTTTTTGTTTTAAGCAAAAATGATTTTGGTTTTGCAAGGCAGAGAGGCATTGGGCAAACATCAAATGATGTGTTTTACTCTCCTCCTCCTCCTCCTCCTCCTCTTTGGCAGCTTTGTCAATTCCCTTCAAAGATGAAGCGATGGTGTCATTTCCTCCCTTCGTGTAAACACGCACGTTTTGGAGAATCCCCAGCCGGGCCAGAAAAGATGCTGAGTCTGTCTTTTAAAAAAATAAAATTTAAAAAAAGCCTGGAAGGCTTTCCGACCGGTAGAATTGCAGTCGAAACACATGCGCCTTGTTGGCGTGGGCGACCCAGTTGGGACATCACTGGGCAAAGCCAGGGGCATCCCACCTTGGCAACTTTAAGACTTGTGGACTTCAACTCCCAGAATGCCCCAGCCAGCCATGTTCCTGGGAATTCTCCCAGAAATCTCCCAGAATTCCCTAGCCAGCCATAACCTGTTTCTGCCACTTTCCTCTTGTGAAATGCAGGCAGTTTTCATTACTTGCAAATGAAGTTGTAAGAAAACTACAGGGTTAGTCCAGTTGAAGCAAAAATGGATAAATTGCCACTGGATGCTCCCCTGAATTAACCCCTGGTTTTTGGGGGTTTGGATAGGGCTATGAGCTGACAATGAATCGAAAGTATTAGGTTTGTATGAACATTAGAGCAAGGCTGCAACTAGCCCCTTGCAGGAGATTGTGTGAATGCAGCCACTGGGTCTTTGGCTGACCTGGGCAAGCTTTTGGAAGAAAGAAGGAACTTGGGGGCCAAGACAGGAGTTGGGGGTCCCTTGCCAGTGGCTTGTCAGGTGCCCATTACTTGGTGATCTTTTCTGGGCAATGTTTAGACAAGCGGAGACAATGACACATAACAGAATAACAGAGTTGAAAGGGACCCTGGAGGTCTTCTAGTCCAACCCCCTCCTCAAGCAGGAAACCCTATACCATTTTAAACAAATGCTTGTCCATTTCAGGTGCTTGACCGTGACTGAAAAGTCAACCAGGGAAGCTTTCTGGGAGGGGGGAGACGGAGGTAGAAGGTGCGTAGTATTGATCAGTAGGTGGGTAAGAGGGTGGCAGAGAGAGAAGAACGGGGGCAGCACCCTGCAGGAGCTTGCTTGTCAGAAGAGCTGATGAACCTTTGGGATCTCCAAAGAGAATCTGATTAACCCCTGGAAGAAAAGCCGATTCTGTTCTCGAGAAAGCTTCCACGCTCAAGAGTAGGCTACCTTACATACCTTTCAGTGCCCTAGAAACAGCGCCTAGGTCTTGTGCATTGCACCCAGGGGCTCTCATCAAGGCCTCCGATTGTCCATGACTGCTAGATAGTTTTCTCGTGGCTGCAGAGATGGTGAAGGCTGGGTTGAAGCTCCTGCTTTTCCGTTGATGAGATTCTTCCTTGACCCTGGACCTCCTTAAGCTACGGTGCTCCCGGGGTGGAGTTCACGGGGCTGCACAAAGAGACAGCAACCGTCACTCAGATGCACTTCCTACCTGGACAGGTAAAAAAAAAAAAAGACTTGGGTTTTGTTTGGTGCATTAGGTTGTGATGACCCCCGAGGGCCTTGTTTGGCTGGCTGCTTAGATTGATCCTCCGACTCAAGAGTTCAGAAAATGGGTGTCATCGTGTTAGCAGCTGTATGAATTATTTAATTTATGAATAATTCAATTCCCATAGCCGCCCAACTAAGTGACTGGGGGTGGCTTACAATTGTAAAAATTATAAAACGATTAAAAACAAAACACAAGGCAGCAGAAACACCCAGGAAACAAACAAACAAATTCATTAATTAAATAGATTATATCACATGTGCGCCAAGGTCAGTCTTAAAACATGGCTGAGACGGTGAGGAAGCAGGTGAGGTTTGGAAGTGCACTTGAGAATGCCTGTAAAAGACCACCTGTCCCCCCCCCCCGATTTCCTGCAGGGTTTCCTGCTTTCCCTTCTGGATGACAACACCCTCCACCTCTGGGACATTTACCAGAAAGACGGCTACTCCCACCTGGAAGAGACCCGGAGTTTTGTCCTCCCCGGACAGCCAGGGTTCGACAACGCTAAGTACTCACGGCTTCTGCCCCCCCTTCCTTCCTTCCTTCCTTCCTTCCTGGTTGAGGGGTGCCAGGCAGCCTGGGCAGAAGTGAGAGGGGGGGGGACAAGGGTGTTCAACCTCCTGGCCATTTTCTTGTCCCTTCTTGGCTCTCTGCGGGAGAGGGAGGGAAGTCCAGCTGGCTGACGAGGCACAGCCCCGAATGGGCAGGAGGGCTGCTGGGGAATCTATGGGGCAAAGCTTCTTTCTGCTCCAGATTTTGCACGGGGGTTGCGGGAAGCACAGTTGAGGGTTGGGCTGCAGGAAGGAGAGAAGACGCCACCTTGGATCTTCCACCATTTGTGCACGGGCATCGCTGGCCCAATGACACACCTTGGTGAGGTGATGTGTTGAGGGAGGCATCTTTTCCTTGCAAATCACCTTTGGGGTGCTGGTTCCCCATCCTTGCAACGAGGATCTAGCAGTTTCACTGGTTTTCTGTGGGGTGCAAATATCCACTTGGGTGTGTATGTGTGCCAAGATCTGGGACGACGGTTTTCAGAATGTGTTCTGGGTTCTGTTTTGAAGGACCAAGTTGCCAGAAGTATCTCAGACCCCTGACTGATCTTTCCCTACAGCGTCTTCAGTGCTGTAGGGAAGTGCCAAGGACATAAAAGTCCATAAATTATGCACCCTCAGCTGCAGCACAGGAACCGATGCACAGCTGCTCTGACACAACTTTCCCCAAAGATTCTGAAAACCGCTGGCCAGATGACCCAGCCGCAGCAGTGCTGGTTACAGGAGGGTTCTCTTTCTTCTGACAGTTCTCCTCCCAGCATCACCCGGGTGACGGTGATCCTCCTGGGGTCCAACTGCAGCATCGCCTACCTTGGCACTGAAGGGGGTGGCATCTACTTCCTGGGACTTCCTGGTCTAACGCTGCTGGAGGGCAGCACCCTGTACCAAGATGAAGTCCTGCAGAGGTGAGCTGCTCTAAGAAAGCCAGGCTTGATGTCAGTGGGCCTGGGTCTACGTGGGTGGGGAGACGGGCAGGCAGGAGAACATGATCAGGAGGTGAAGAACTGGTCAACGGTTGAAAACAGGAGATGCCTTCTGAGGGAAGCACCAAATGCTAGAATAAGAGCTCAGGGCATGCCAGAGATCTCCAAGAAAGCTGCTGGTGGTGTCATGTCAGATCATCTAACTGATGTCCTTTAGAAATGGTGGGGCAGTCGTAGAAAAACATGCCTCTGTGTTTCCTCATTGTTTTGGACACCATAAGTGAGATTGGTCTTAATACTGTGAGGTCCTTTTCGTAGAGTGTTCTTCTGTCCTCATTGCTGATGCACACAAAGAAGTCATGTCTGAAGAAGGGCACCTGGTGTCACTCGAGTTTCATAACTACCTTAATTCACTGGAAAGGGAGATCACAGGTGAAGCCTCCCTCTTTCTCTTATCGTCCTAGCGTGCCTGAGGACTACCGATGCGGGAAGGCCCTTGGGCCGGTAGAATCTCTTCAGGAACATCCTCAAGACTCGGCGAGAATCCTGATTGGATATAGCAGAGGCCTGATGGTCCTGTGGGACAGAAGCTCAAGAGAAGTTCATCATCTTTTCTTGGGCAACCAGGTATGTTACTTGGCTGGGCTGGATGGAGTCTTCCTCACGCAGCATCCCCGCCCTCCTCTTTTTTTTGCAGGAAGTCTCCAAGGTCAGATGGGATGTAGCTAAGGAACATCTCCTGCCACCTGAGACCTTGAGGAGCTGAAACTAGCCACTATGGGAGATTAGCGGGCGGTTAAAGGGAACGGGGAACCGTATTGGAGATCTTCAGAGATTACCCACCCTGATTACCCAGAATTAAAAGCTCATCCCCTCTAGGAACAAGGCTTAAAAGTCTGAAGTGGCTTGAGGGGCCCAGTCGATGCTCTCAAAATGTCTTGTAGCCATTTTGACTGGCAGGTCTCCTTTCAGCCTCTTTTTCTCCTCTGTGCCCAAGGCCTGGTGGCTTAGCTTGGGTCTGCGGCTTTTTTGCAGCAACTGGAGAGCGTCAGCTGGGAGCGGAGTGGCTGGACCCTGGTCAGTTCTCACAGCGATGGGGGCTACGCCTTGTGGTCGATGGCAAACGGTTCACCCAAGACTCTGCAGCCGACAACTTCCACCGTCCCTTATGGTGAGGCTAATACGGAGAAGCTCAGGGAGAATGTGGTGCCTTTGATGAAGGTTGGATCCCAAAGCCCAGAAGATAAACCAACATACGGGTCACCAAGCAGAGGGAGGATTTCCTGCAAGAGAAAGTGAGGGCTAGTCAGCCAATATTTAACCGTTAAGAAAGCAAATGAAGCCCACCTGGACAAAGGTTTCCACTGCTCTTCAAAGCTCTCCCCGTTTCTCCCCTGCTCAGTCGATGAATTTGAGGATTTTGTTGATTTTTCAAGTGGGTCGGCGCTGCTGTTCCACGTGGTGATAGACTCACTGAAACGTCATCCCACTCCACTTCCCACTGATTTAAGCCCAAACTCTTTCAAATAAGGCATCCGTCTCCTTCTCTCCTGGCTGTTAGTTTTGCCCACCTTCCAATCCCCCCTTGCTGGCTGGGGAATTCTGGGAGTTGAAGGCCACACATCTTGAAGTCGCAAAGGTTGAGAAACGCTGAAATAAGGGTTTGTCGTGACGACAGCCACCTTTTAATTGGGCAGGAAGTCTCCCTCTTTCCCCAGACGCTGAGCTCTGCCAAGCTCTCCCTCCTTCTCTTCTAGGTCCGTTCCCCTGCAAAGCCATCAACAAGATCCTGTGGCAGACCTGCGACTCGGGGTGCGTTGCGTTTCTGCGTTTGTCTGAGCTCTGGTCCCAAATTGAGGAATGCCTGTATCCTGCTGATTTCTGCAGCCGTCCTCGGGGGGGGGGGGAGGTACCAAACGAGGAGCCGTTGACCCCTGAATGACTTGCCTCCGCTTTCTTGCCTTCTCCAAAGGGGCCACTTCATCATTTTCAGCGGGGGGATGCCCCGGGCCAGTTACGGGGACAGGCACTGCGTGACCATCCTGCAGGGCCAGGCCTTGGTCACGCTGGACTTCACATCGCGGGTGATCGACTTCTTCACGGTGGGCAGCACGGAGGCCGAGGACGGTACGTGGCATGGCTGCCTGGGGAATTCTGGGAGTTGAAGTCCACAGTTGCCAAGGTTGGACACCCTGATTTAAACTCTGCCCTTGTCACTCTTCATCAAGAGCGTTTTGCCGGTTTCAGAAGCGAGACCTTCTCGTCCTTCCACGCACCTTTTTTTCTCTCCTGGCTGCTGGTTTTGTCAGTTTTTCCCGCTTCCTCTGATCCAACCTGGTCTTTCTGCATTAAAGTATCATTCAGAGGTGGTATGTTTGTCACACCGGTTCCAGAATTCGACAACCCGGCAGCTTTGGTGGTTCTAGTGGAAGAGGAGCTGGTGGTGATCGATCTGCAGACGCCGGGCTGGCCCACGATCCCCGCGCCCTACCTGGCCCCTCTCCATTCCTCGGCCATCACCTGTTCCTACCACATCTCCAACGTCCCCCTCAAGCTGTGGGAGAGGATCATCAGTGCTGGCGAACAGCAGAGCCCTCGCCTGTCCTCGGTGGTGAGTGGGGAAATGGGCGCGTTCATCTCCGGAGTCAAAAGGGCTGCAGTCGGGTGGAAAGGAGCCTCTCTGCCAAACCCAGAGCTTGGAGGATGGGGTCTGTTTGATGGGGGGGGGGGGTCAGAAGCAGCTAGCCCTCCCACTCCATCTTCGGCGTGGAGGACTTTCCACGTAGCAGTCTTAAAGTTTTGTGATGCGTGGACAACATAGATGTCAACCAAAGCAAGCCGTGTGTGTTTGTGCCCTAAACAGCCTTGGCCCATCGATGGAGGGCACCCCCTTGCTCAGGAACCCACCCAGAGGGGGCTGCTCTTGACCGGGTAAGTGGTCATCACCATGGTTGCTAGCTGCGGAAGAACCCTTGCAGGAGAAGTCTTGGGGAGTTGGCCAGGATGCTAGCAAAGACCTTGAAGGTTGGATGGACCATTGTTATGGGGTGAAGCCAAAGATTGGGGGGCAGCTGTTGTGCTAGGAAAGGCCTAGGAGGGAAGGGTATCCTAAAGCCCTGATGGACTCCTCCAGAGAGGAAAACTCACTTAACAGATTGCTCACTTAGCAACATAAAGTTTGGGCTCACAAGTTGAGGACTACCTGCATTGTCCGACCACGTCTGGGAGGTGTCAGATGGAGAGTTTCTGAGCTGGCCAAGCCAGGAGAGGCCAAGTGGGACACAACTGTGGAAGAGTCCTGAGAAGGAAGTAGCTTATAGAGAGGAATGCTACTTCCGAGTGGAGAAGTGGAGATGTTGACCACTGTTGGCCCCGAGCAAGGATTAAATTCCTCCTGCGAGTAATAAAAGAGCACAAACATGTTGTGGTTGTGGTACAGTTGCCAGAATAGCCCCAGCTCCATTCCATTCCCGCCTTTCCTCTCCTCAGGCATGAAGATGGCACGGTGCGTTTCTGGGATGCTTCCGGAGTATCCCTCAAGCCACTATACAAGCTGGGCACAGCCAACATCTTCCAGATGGACTGTGAACACAACGACAGCTTGAATCAATCCTACGAGGAGGAATGGCCCCCCTTTCGGAAGGTGCCAGCAAACTTGGGTTCAGTTGCTTCCCACTTGCCCATGTGGAGGAGGGAAGCCCCCTGGCTGCAAAATCATTGGGGCTGGTTGGTGTTCCAGCTCTGGGCAGGGATTGGGTTGAGATCTCCACGTCTTGCTGAAGCCTATCACCAGTGGGCTCCTGGGAGATGTAGTTTGGCAGCATCTGGAGGCCCACCCATGGCCCAGAGCAACTCAGTTGTTGATGGTGAAATCAGAGCATCTGGTTTCTATGTGCAGAATCTGACTTAGTTTTTTCTTGTACCTCTTTGGGGACAACCCACTCTGTCCATCCAGGTTGGCTGCTTTGACCCTTATAGTGATGATCCCCGGCTGGGTGTCCAGAAGATCGCTTTGTGCAAATACACAGCTAAGATGGTGGTTGCTGGCACGGCAGGGCAGGTAACAATTGTGGTGCATGTGTTGGGGGTTCCTCCAAAATCCAGCTTTTCTCCCCAGAAACCTGCAGCTTCTTGTTCGCCATCTTGTGTGCCATCAGAGGCCTTCTCCAGTCAGATGGGTGGGGAAGACTCTGAAATAATCAAAGATGGAAATCACTAAACTGGGAGGTGGTTGAAGTTTGGGAGAAGATGGAGAAGTGACTTGATGGAGCCTTGTAGGTATTTGGTGGAGGTACTATTAGAAGAAGAGAAGAAAGTGTGATGGAGTCGTGTAAGGGTGAACGAGATCTGTGAGGCCGCAGGAATTAGGGACAAGAAGGGAGAATAGCCGAGTTGCTTGAAGTATTGGCGATCATAAGGAATCTTAAGGATTACAGTCATAAAATCATAGGGCTGGAAGGGACCTCAGAGGTCTTCTAGTCCAACCCTTTTAGTCCTGGAAAGAGAGTTGTGCCAAAGTGTGAATATAATTCTGTTCACGTTTACAGCTCTCAAGTCTACTCGGGGATGAATCAGAGAAGTACCAATGAAGGAGATTATTTGTAGCTCAGGGTTGAAATGAGGAGTCCTTGGTGCTCTTTGAGTTTGCTTGTTTTCTTGCAGACTTTTCATTACCCTAACTAGGTACCATCATCAGTGCTAGAAGGGAGGGGGGTTTGCAGAGAGGAGGAGGGGGAGGAGGAGCTGTGGATTCCTTGGTGCTCTCTGAGTTTGCTTGTTTTCTTGCAGAGGTTTCACCATCAGTGCTGGTGAACCAGAGAAGTGTCCAAGACGTATCTGGGGTTCTTCTCTCTTTGGCAGGTGCTGGTGATGGAGTTTAATGATGAGAAGTCCGAACACATGGTCAACATTGCTGTGGTGGACCTACTCCAGGACCGCGAAGGCTTCACATGGAAGGGGCATGACCGGCTGCCTCCCAAGAATGGTGCCTTCTCCTTTGCCCCCGGCTTCCAGCCCAGCGTCCTCCTGCAGTGCCTGCCCCCCGCAGCTGTCACGGCTGTCACCCTGCACTCAGAGTGGAACTTGGTGGCCTTTGGAACCAGCCACGGCTTTGGCCTGTATGACTATTACCGCCGGAACCCTGTGCTGGCCAGGTAGGCAGACCTCTGCCCTGGGCACATCTTTATGACTTCAGAAATGGAGCTGACGCTCCGTGGATTGGTGTTCATAGTTTAGAGACCCCTGAAGGTCTGCTGGTTGTGATTGTTGGTGATTGATTGTTCCTTTTTGATAGGTGCACTCTGCACCCCAATGATTCTCTCGCAATGGAAGGCCCCCTCTCGCGAGTTAAGTCCCTGAAAAAGTCCCTGCGCCAGTCCTTCCGTAGGATCCGTAAGAGCCGCGTGTCGGGCAAAAAGAGAGTCACGGCCAGTAGCCCCTCAAGCAAGGTAAGCAGAGCGAGAGGGGTGGAGATGCTGGCTGGGAATTCTGGGAGTTGAAGTCTACACATCTCAAAAGCTGATGAGGTTGAGAAACACTGGTCAACAGCCTTTGACTTGAAGAGATTTATTTGAATATCTATTGTGGACCATCTTCTCCCCTCTACTATTTGGAGTGTCTCCATTTAATCTTCCTCATGAAGTTTTGGAGAAGATGAAGTTAAGTATTCCCCAGCTTCTTCTCCCACCCCAAATTCCATGGAGGAAAGAGGGATGAAAAATCTAGCATGTTCAAATGAAGGACAAGCCATCATTTGAAGCAAGAAGGAAATGGAGAAGACCTTTTCATGGGTGGAGAACATGGTCTCCTATCCTAGGGGTTGGATAAGCACCTTTGAGGCTCTGCTGATAAGCAACCCTGGATCTGGGTCTTGCCTCACCTGCTTCTCCCATCCCACCAGGTACAGGAAGCAAATGCCCACCTGGCTGAGCAACCTGGTCCCCATGAGGTGGAGATGGCGCCCGTCCAGCGACGGATTGAACCTCGCTCAGCAGACGATTCACTGTCTGGGGTTGTGCGTTGCCTCTACTTTGCAGATACCTTCCTCCGAGATGGTAAGGGAGGGACCCCGGTGGAAGATAGTGACCCCAAAGGGAAAGCTATCCTCCACGTTATAGTTAGTGTACATGGAGGGAGATGTGGCCTAATGTAGACTCCCAAGAAGAGTCATAGGGATCTTGCCGGTTGTGAATGATGGGAACTGTGGTGCATTGCTCATAGAGGGGCTGGGAGAAGCTGGGAGGGGGGGAGACAGGCAGCCCTTCAGTTTCTCCTCCTGTCTCTCCACAGCTGCACATCATGGACCCACCATGTGGGCCGGCACCAATTCGGGCTCCGTCTTCGCCTACGCCCTGGAAATCCCTTCCCAGGAGAAGTTTTCGGAGCGCTCGGTGGAGGCGGTCTTGGGCAAGGAGATCCAGCTTATGCACCGGGCGCCGGTGGTCTCGATAGCCGTCCTGGATGGCCGAGGGAACCCTCTGCCGGAACCCTACGAGGTCTCTCGGGACCTGGCCAAAGCCCCTGACCTGCAGGGCAGCCACTCGGTCCTCATTGCCTCCGAAGAGCAGTTCAAGGTAATTCCGAGCGAAGGGAGGAGGCCCTCTAGACCAGAGGTCTCCAACCGTGGCCCCTTTAAGACTTGTGGACTTCAACTCCACCCCCCCATGACTATCAGTATCCTAGAATAGTTTCCTTCTCAGCTGCACTGATTGTCCAGATCCAAGGCACCTACTGGTCACTGTGGCTCAACGTCCGAGGAAAGGAGGCCTTCTAAAGCCGTCCTCTTCCTCCCCTCCCCGGCTGCAGGTCTTCACCCTCCCCAAAGTCAGCGCCAAAACCAAGTTCAAGCTGACCGCCCACGAGGGTTGCCGCGTCCGGAAAGTGGGCTTGATGAGCTTTGCCAGCGCCACCTGCGACGACTACGCGGAGAATGGGCTGGCCTGCCTCACCAACCTGGGCGACCTGCACGTCTTCACGGTGCCCAGCCTGAGGCCGCAGGTCCACTACGACTGCATCCGCAAGGAGGACATCAGCGGCATCGCCTCCTGCGTCTTCACCAAGTACGGCCAAGGTGAGCGAGGGGCGGCAGGTGCCCGGAGGGGAGGGGGAGTGGGGGGGCCAAGGGACGAGCCTCTGAAGCCCTCCGAGGCAGCCCGGCAGCCCTGTCCGGCTTCGACAAATTGACAGTGTCTGAAATGATGGGCAGAGCAAGAAGGAGATGCACAGAAGACAAAGAATGACCCACCGGGGAGAGGATTCCCACTGCAAATAATTCAGAGCAGGAAGACTCTGCCTCAAGAGGTGGTGGTGGGTTTAAGCTTACTTATTTATCAAATTTCCTCACCCAAGTGATGCTGAATGGTTGACAAACAGCCATTATAAAGCCACATAGAAACATGACTAAAAGCACAGGTAAAAAATCAAGTGACAAATGAGGCTAAATCTTACAAGGTAAAAGTAAGAATTAAAGTCAGACTTTAACGAATGGAGTTAAAAGACCCGCAAGGCTCCAAGATGAACAGGGCAGTCCTCTTGAGCCACTGGTCATTGAATGAGGACCAGGCAGGCTGCTGAAGGGAGAGAAGTTAATTGGCAGCTAAACTGAGCCTCCTTGGCTGGAAGAAGTTTATCTTTAAGGATCAGGGGCTGCCAGATGCAAAGGGCGCAAGGGTGGGATTGTTCTTTCCATGGGGAACAGACTCTGCTTTTGCACTGCTGTGAATATTGGGGGGGGGGGGGCGCAGAGAGACCTGAAAGTGGATCTCTTTTTATGTTCCCTTTGCAGGCTTCTATTTGATCTCTCCGTCAGAATTCGAACGCTTCTCCTTGAGCACTAGAAACATCACCGAACCGCTGTGTGTGCTGGAGACGAGCCGCACCCATGACAGCATTTCCCCAGGGTGAGAGAACCCCCTTGGCACCGCCGTTGCTTTGCAAGTCCAGCTGATTCTCTCGGGGGGACGTTTTTCCTTTCATTATACGATGGCTTCCTTGAAACCCCAGCCACATTTCCCACTATTTGTGTGATAGACAGGTGCTGCTCACGAGCTGGTGGTACCCCCAAAATAGGTTTGCATTTAATACCCAAAGAATTGTTGTGCTTCAAAGTCAAACTAAGGGGGTGATTCACAAGCTGTAACTGGATGCATTTTGTGGAAGATTAAAAAAACAGGATGGGGGCTGCCCCACTTTGTGATGGCTGCAGTCTGCACCTGGAGGGCAATTCTGCAGGATGTGGGGTGGGAGCCATCCAGGTTAGGACCCTAAAGTGGGAAGAGGCTTAAAGCCTGCTGTGTCCCACCTCACAGCTTAAAGCGGGGAACTTCACAAGAAGTGGTCCAAAAAGTGGAATGGTGGTTGTGATGTGGGGTCCGCGGCCCTGCGTGCTTTGTAGGTGCGTCGCATTCCAGGAAATGCAATTCATAGCTGCTGTGTGCTTAAGATACTTGATGTATCAAGAGGTCATCCTATTTATTTATTGTTTTTATTTTCACCCTGGAATGGAGATGGATGCGGGAGGCATAGAGAGCAGATGGCAATTTAGGTGCCGCTTCCTTTTTATTACAGAAATAACGTCACAGCAACGCCAAAACTAAGCCAGGCCAACGGGACGCACATTTTACAAGGATCAGAGGCTAATCATTCCCCTGCAAGCAACGATCGTAAGGAAAACAGCTTTTCAGCTATTTGGGCAGACTGACAAGTCATCCTGTGTGTGACTTGTGTGCATGACTAAGCGGTGGTTTCAGAGCTGGTTCAGCCTTAGTTGGGCAGTCTGAAGTCTCTGTAAACTCTTGGCTTTATCATAGCTTCCGTTAAAATGAAATCTTGGCCTATTTATTTGTCTCAATAAAAGACACTCTCTGTAGCTGAACTGGGGAGTTCTTGGTACCCTCTTAAAGTTGGGCCGTTTGCGTGCAGATGTTTCATTACCTGACTGGCGGACCTTGCGTATTTGTGTGTCTACCTGAGAAAAATCACTCTGTACAGTGTTGCATGTTTTAAAGATAAGATCAGGAAGTCTTGAAGGAAATTCCAGGGCCCTCTGATAAAATAATTTGTTCTCCCTCCCTCTGTCTCAGAAAAATCCTTCAGTTTGCATCCATTAAATTCAGAAAGTTTGGAGGGAAGTTTTATAATGGATCCAGTCACAAAGAAGTGTTTTAAAGACGGAGAAGGTTAGATTTGAATTCTAGATGTTTATGGCAATATTGCAGACTTCTGCTTTTCTGCCTTCAGGGTCTCCCGAAGACCCCCCAGCATTGTTTGCCTCAACGCCGATCGACTCCCCCGACAGCAGCATCGACACCCCCTTAAATACCACTGGAGATATTACAGTCGAAGAAGTGAAGGATTTCTTGGCGTAAGTCTCTGTTCTTTGGGAGCAACCTGGACGTAAAAACATGCCTGCCACCTCTGCAGAGGCCCCCTCCTAGTCTGGGGGCAACATTTACAGAGTAACAGAGTTGGAAGGGACCTTGGAGGCCTCCTAGTCCAAGCACCTGCTCAGGCAGATTGGATGTCCAATCTCTTCTTTAAAAAGTTCCAGTGTTGGAGCATTCACAACTTCTGGAGGCAAGTTGTTCCACCGGTTCATTGTCCTCACTGTCAGGAAATTTCTCCTTAGTTCCAGGTTGCTTCTCTCCTTGATGAGTTTCCATCTGTTGCTGCTTGTCCTGCCCTCAGGCGCTTTGGAGAGGAGGTGGACCCCTTCTTCTTTGGGGCAGCCCCTCAAATACTGGAAGACTGCTATCATGTTGCCCCGAATCCTTCTTTTCATTAAACTAGACTTGCCAGCAACCGTTCTTTATAGGTTTTAGCCCTAATCATCTTTATTGCTCTTCTCTGTGCTCTTTCTAGAGCCTCAACATTTTTTTTAATATTGGGGTGACCAAAACTGGATGCAGCATTCCAGGTGTGGCCTGACCGAGGCCTCATAAAGTGGTCCTAACCCTTCACGTGATCTGGTTTCCATCCCTGCGTTGGGGCAGCCCAGGATGGCCCGGGCTTTGCCTGAGGGCGGCTTGCAAGTGGGCTCTGCTCTGGCCTGGCTCTTCTTGCTTCCCTTTCTCGTTCCAGGCCCTCCGAGGAAGCCGAGAGGAATCTGCGGAACATCAGTGAGGAGGAGGCCCGATCTCCAGGGATCCTCATTAAATGAGGCAGGTCCAGGGAAAATTGCTACTCCTTTTTTTAAGCAAGCCAGAGGCCTGGCTGGTTCTCAGGGACGCCCGTGCGAGTTCTGAGCCAGGGCAGGAGGCATTTCGGGCAGCCCAGGATGGGAAGCCGGACAGAGGGGTGTCTGTGGCAGCCGAACAAGCATTGCAACCAGGAAGGAAAGAGGAAAGATGGACGCAGGGCGGAGTGTGGCCGGAGAGAGGGACTCGGTGCTCTGTCCAGCCTATTTTAAGGTCTGACCCTTTCCTTTGCAGGGACCCTGCACTGTCCCACGTGATGCTTGGACCTTCGGGACCGAGACTTCTCGCTGTTCTTGCAACAAACTGTTGGTCCTACCTCTCCTCCTCCTCCTCCTCCTTCTCCTCCAGACTGTTCCCTGTGTATTTTTTACAAGGACAAAAAGAGTTGCAATCTTTTTCTAACACGTGGCCGGCCTGGAAGTGGACAGGCAGCATCTCTTCCTCGGTACCTCTCCAAGTTTGCATTTTTGATAGATATATATGTCTATATATGTAAAAAAAAAAAAAAAAAAAAAAGGAAAAGAGAAAAAAAACCCACAAAAATGTGCCAATGTCCCGGAGGAACCACTTTTGGAGCATCTGCTCTTCGATTGCACAGAGACTTGGGGACTTTAAACGTTTTCTTTTGAAGACAAAGCCACTGGGAGGAGGAGGAGGAGGACCAGGCCACCTGGGTTGAGGCCACACACCCCCCCCCCCCCGAAGAAACTATTGGGTTGTTTTGGCCCAGCTGGTCCTTTGATGGAGGAAAGGGGCTTTCGATGGACCAACGGAGGGAGGGATTTTGCTGCGATGCAACGCTGGACAGTTCCTTGGCCTGCCTTTTGCCGTAGGTGGGAATGGCTACCGATGCTCAGATTCTTCTGGTCTTGCTTGAAGCATCTTCTCCCCTCTTCAGAACCCTCCCTATGTCTGGGCTGAGCTCCCCGAGAAAAGGTGTACTGGATCCAGTGAGAAATTATGTATTTTCTGCTCAGAGGACACAAAATGGGAAGTTGGAGGCCAAGAACAGATTTGAAGAAAGGCTTTTTGTGATACTGATGGAAACTGACCTTCCTTTCTCCTCCTCCTCCATTCCTCCTCTTCCTCCTCCTCCTTCTCTTCCTTTTAATTTGGAGGAAACAGTTGAAGATTTTTTTTTCTTTTTTCGTTTCTTTGTTACACAGGATCGGGAATATTTATCCAAGCACAAAGCAAATTTTGTGAAATAGGAAGTCCTAGGGCTGCAAGAAAATTATAGCAGTCCCAAGAAAACACTCTGCAAGAAATACTATCATGCCTTTCCAATATTGTTCACTTTTCCTTCCTCCCCCGTGTTAGTTGATATGTCCAGGATGAGGGGTAAGAAAATCCCTGAGTCATTCTATTCATTTGCCTCTCCAATAATTTAATTTGATGTGTAAACAGATTTCTTCTCCTCCCTAGCTGCCTGTGGGCCCAATTTGATTTTAAACAGATTTGTAGATTTTGGGTTAATTAGCAATGCCAAAGTAGCTTCCTCTTTCCTTTCTGAAATTCCAATTTCCTGGGGGGGGGGGGTTAGGTGTGTGTTGGGGAGGGAAAATTAACTGGGCTTGGTACAGAGTTGATGTACGTCCCTTAATCCCAGGCGATGATAAGATGGTAAATAAGTTTGGCTTACGTTTCTGTGCTTTTTTTCCCTTTCAATCTGAGAAGGGACTCCCCAAGTCTAGGAAGCAAAGAGTTTTTGCTGAGCTGAAGATGGGGTTTTTGGTCCGGTCTGGAGAATGTAGGGTCTCCACTGAATGCCAGCAGCAATGCCAGCTTCAGACCCCCTGGTGGGCTTTTCTTCTTTTTATTTGGCCAACTCTTACGAGTGTCCTCTGACATGCCACTCACCGTTTCCCTGAACCTCCAGCTTCCCACATTTGAAATCCCGGCTTTGGCTGCCTGCGCTGAATTTGGCTGAGCCAGCTTGATTTTTGCCTGGTGATCGGGGAACACAGCTGCAGGCAGCTCTCTGCGGTGGCTGCTGACTCTCACACCACGACAAAGGTCCCCGTGTGTGTGTGGGGAGGGGGTCCTCCCTGCCTTAGAAACTTCTTGCTGGGATTTTTTGCAAGCCACAGACAGACTTTCCAAGAACGAGCTGCGTGTGCAACTGTGCAAAGTTGTGGCAAGGCGTTTTTGTGCACGTTGCTGAGATCTGGTCCCAAGCATGGTTCTTTGGCCCTCCTGTCAGAGCGCCCACCCCTCCCCCACAGCTGCCCGGCATCGTGGACCCCTTTCTCTGGAGTGGAGGTGGGTTCTCTTCTGCTTCACCTCCACCTTGTCCCGTTCAGGTGGGAAAATTTCTTGTGCCAAAAAAAAGAAGAGGCGAGCCCATCACACAGACCTGGAGCTACGCTTTCCTGCTGGGAAGGATTCCTTTTTCTCACGGTTGTTTTTGTGCCAAGAAAACTCCCCTGGGGGGGGGGGGTTGATAAGATGGGGAGGCTAAGAAGTGGGGCAAAACGCTTTTTAAAAGTCCCCCTTTTTGATGTGAGAGTTTGGCTCCCCGGGAAGGAACTTTACAAGTCCGCTTGGGTGGAACGGTACGATTTGATTCTTGCTCTGTGTCCGTGTGAATGCCTGACGGGTGTCTGCGTGAGTGGATGGAGGTGTGACATTGTGAGTCTTTTTTTTTGGTTTTTTTGTGGTAGCCACTGAGGGAGGGTGGGCTAGTTTCCTTGTACTATGACCTCTTCAGATCCCCCTTTTTTTGGTCCAGGGAATGGATTTAGCATTGTTTAGTAATTAATGCAGGTTTTTAATAAAGGAAGAATAAAGCATTTACTATCTAAAGCAGCCTCTCTTGTAGTCTGGTTTCTCAGTGACCCTCTTTGCAAACAGAGGCAGAGAAAAGTACTGAAATACGGAAGTTTTCCTACTACCAGCCAAGGAGGGAAAATGCCACTTATAGGACTGGCACCTAAGATGGGAGGAAAATCACTAAAAACAGTAGTGGGAGTGAACCAGGATTTGCTTATTGCTGTCAGAACAGAAGGACACTACAGTGGCCAACTTTGCAATCTTTATTGAGAAATTAAAAAGGAAGCTTGTGAAGCCCTGGAACGGACACCCCCTTCGCTGTGTTTGCGCTAGGCCAGACGCAACCCTGCACTTTGCTAGTTGAATGCCTGCCTGCGACTGTAGCTGTTTGGAGTTGATGCCCGCCATCCTCTGCCTTTGGCCATGCAATCTGCCGCTGGTAGCAATTGCTCCAGATGTTTGGCGGGCATCAAGTTGATCCAGGCTGGCTTTAAAATGAGTGCCACTTCTCCTGCTTTTTACAAGTTCTTCCAAGTGCTTCCTTTCTGTGGCTTTTCTTCCCACCTTTTCCAAAAGTGGGGATCTAGGAAGGAGCTGACTGCAAAGCAGAAAATTGCAAGAGATCTGCTTTTCATAACCTAGTGCCTCATGAGGACTAGAAGCCAGCAGGGCACCACTTCTTTGTGATTTTTTTTTAAAAAAACTCTGTAATTCAGTGCAAAAAAAGAAGGAAGAACAGATCCAGGCATTCAACTGGAAGGCAATAAAAGACAGTTGTGCTTTTAGCAGCTGTAAAAAACAAACGGATTTTAGCCAGGGGTGGCTTTTAGGAGCACAAAAGCAGCTGCTGAAATCCTTCCTTCCCTGGGATGGAAGATGGGGGGATCTTATGCTCGCTTTCCAGGGCAGGGGCCTCCCTGAGCCTCCCCCACCCCCTCTTGCTAGACCTCTCTGCTCCCGCTCCACGCTTAATTTGGAAAGTGCTAGAATCTCTGCAAACTTTTGCCCGAGACCCCCAGCCGGGGGGGGGAGGTGCGCTCCTGGGGCTCAGCCCACCCTGCACCCCAGAACGAGGCCGGGAGGCTGCGGCACCTGAGCGGGGGGGGGTGGTTGTTGAGAGAGCATTATGGAGGGGGTTTGAGGGGGGGAACCAAGACACCTCTGCTGTAAGAATGGCTAAGAGAGGGCCAGGCGTCTTAATGGCCACTTGGAGATTTGGTTGGCATTGGAAGCGGAAGCAGGAGGTGGATTTGGGGGACGGTGACGGTGGGAGGGGGCAATTCAGCTCCCCCCCACCTCTCTGAGTAACGTTTCCTCCAATCCGCGGCTCGAAGAGAAGCGCGTTGCAGTGAAGGGCGGGGATGGGCCGCCCAGCGCTGGCACAAGACTACAAAGTCCATCCGTCAGGGGATCCCCAGTGGGGCCACTGCGGGCGGCAGAGAGTGAGGTCTGGCGTTGGCTGCCGTTAAGCCAGCGGCTTCCGGAAGGTGCTCCAGGCGTGGAAGCAGCGGGTGAAGGGAAGCGGCTCGTTGCCTTTGCGCACCAGCCGGAGTTTCCGGGGCCGGCTGGCGTCTTTGGACCGCATGTGCTGGATGTAGACCTGAGGAGGGAAGGAATAGAATAGAATAGAGCTGGAAGGGACCTTGGAGGTCTTCTAGTCCAGCCCCCTGCTCACGCAGGAGAACCTGTGCCATCTCAGACAAGTGACTGTCCAGTCTCTTCTTAAAAACCTCCAGTGATGGGGTGTCCACAATTTCTGGTGGCAAGCTGTTCCGCTGGTTAATTGTCCTCACTATCAGGAAGTTTCTCCTTAATTCTAGGTTGGCCCAATCCCAGCAATTCTAGGTTGGCCCAATCCCAGCAATCCCTCAAACGTTTTGAAATTGAGTAAGCGAATTCCAGTTTTCAGCAAAACCCGTTGGAAAACGTGGTGTTGCCGAGCAGTGAAGTGCAGTCATATGACCGGGGGGGGGGGGACTGTCAGAACTTTGAAACTGGGCCGTAACTCCCTGTTTTTCAGGTAGGTCATAACTTCAAACGGTCATAAATGAAGGACTATCTTGATGCCGCTGGAGTGGAGGAGGCCAGGAGATGCGAGATCTTTTCTCCCCGGCCGGCAAAATCCTGCTGAAGCCAAAGCAGGAGAGGAACACGGACCCTCCCTCGGCATCCCCCCAGAATGGCCTCTGTCGACCCTTCCGGATGGTTACCTGACAAGCTTTGAGGCTCAACTTGATCTCGACCTGGCTGGTCTGCGTCCCCACCCACATGTAGACCTGGAAAAGAGGAAGAGGGGACCGGGCGGTGGCTTCTTCTCCAGAGGAGACCCCCCCAGGGCTACCCAGGGAGACGTCTCCTCCCGGTCCCACCAGCTGCTCGAGGCCACAGCCGGCCGAGGGTCCCGTCCGGCTCCTGCCCCAGACTGACCTCACAGCCGTTGTCCAGCAACATGATGTCATCGTCCGCCAGATCGTCCTGGCAGAAATCGGAGCATTTTTCTGACACCGCGAAGTAGCCCTTCTCGTTGGAGCACCTGGGGGGGGGGGGGAAGGAGGAGACAAAACCAGGAAAAAAAAAGTCTCTTGAGATGGACATTAGAGCAGAAGAGGGAATAGCGGACCCCCCCCCACCACTCCCCCAGGAGCAAATTCGGTCTCTTTGAGGGCCGGTCTTGGATTCTGCTACAGACTGAGGGCTTGCTGGGTGATGGCAAAT